ACTAGAACAATGGAACATACAATGAGTCAGTTCATACATGAGTCTATACATTACAATACAGCTAGTACATACTATACATTTTACAAGAAAACATACATGCTAGACAGAGAGAGAACATACAATAGCATACAGAGAGAACATACATACATACTAGACAGAGAGAGAACACACAATACAGCTAGTACATTCAATACATATACAAGAATACTATTACAGTTATGTGAGCCACGTAACGGGGCATGGCACTACCTGTCATGACCGTTTTTGTATCCAGAATCTCCTTAAGTGGGGAGCGTATGAGTTTGCGTATAGATCTATACTGGATTGACTATCCTACACCTTGCTGCTCGCTACAGTGGGACTTGCAAGTCTACGGGTGCCAAACGTCATTTCTTCCGACATCTTACATTGTCGCGTTCTATAGTCGGTAGCAGGGTACAGGCCGATCACATGGTACTTTAAATACAAATTGGTTTAAGGTAGTTAGTACAGCAGTAGTTACTTAATACAATACTACAGTACTATTTCATTTTCCCATTGCATTCACTTTGTGATCTTCACACAATAAACAGTAATGTAGAAAGTATATTTTTGGGTAATGATAGTCAAATTTGGGAAAATACATACTCTTACAAGAGACACACACACAGATACTAGATGCCTTGGTAGAAGGCTACTTTTAGTAGGAAACATAGGGTTTTCTAGGAGATTCAAACCTTTTTACAAATTCACACATCACTTACTTACAAATACTTTCATACAAATACATACACTAATATACTTATGATCTCACCAGATTTAAAGCTGATACTCTTTCAAAATAACTTGTATCCTCAGGTTGCCAGTAGACAGGTACCGATGCCAGGTTTTGAGAAGATGGAGCTCGTTCAAGACTCATCTTTTATTTTGATTCATATTTTGGTGTCTATTTAACTTGACAGAAAACACTTGTATTAAAATTATATTATTAATTCAATGGATGATGTTGTTGCTTGTTTACTACTTTGCATTGTTGTGATACTGTACATGACGTCCTCCACCCCCGAACGATTCCGTCGTTCCGGTTTTGGGGTGTGACAATGATTAACATCAAGCTACCCTTTTCCACGCACTGTCAGTCCCAGATTAGTGTTCCGGTTAACCACACGCACTCCAATAACGACTTAACAAGGTGCAAAGTGCAATTTCATGGGTTAGCACCAAATTCATATTTTCCTAAGTAACTAAGATTGGGAATTTATAAGTGTTTAGTTACTTAGTATTTCATTATACTTTTAATGAGAATTTAAATGTCCTGTTAAACCCGTTCGGCTAACGACCCTCCACCAGTCAAGGAAGCGGTGGGTGAGAGTGGACACCCATTAAACTACCATTTTATAGGCAGTAACCTTATATCCCCCTTATAGACCGGCTTCATGAATGAGGCCTACTAATGGTAAGACTGACTTATTCTTATACATATATATATTACTAAACCTATAATAATATAATAAAGTATAAGGGTAGAATTTTAAACAATTAAAATTCTAGGGTTTGGTACTAAATGTGTCAAAAGAAGACTCTACATTTACAAATTCCAAAACTTGAGGGCAAGTTTTGAACTTTTCAAAAACTTTTGGAATCCATAACATATGAGTTTAATATAGGCTTTAATGAAAAGACTCTTGGAAATCCATAACTTGGGGACAAGTTATGGAGTTCATAAAAAAAACATTTATGGAAAAACTCTTCAAGACCATAACCTATGAGTTTAATGAAGTTTTTTAAAAGAAAAATTTTTCATTTTCCGTAACTTGAGGACAAGTTATGGAGTACATTAAAGGCCATAAAGATCATCAAATAAACTAACAAGCATGTCAAATAATGTCCATGATCTAGATTAAACTCATATGAACAAGATAATTCATATCAAACAAATTTCATGTAATTAGCATAATCATATAAACTAATACAAAACATGAAACTTTGACAATTATCTTCTAAATTGGATAAGCATGATCATTACCACATCAAAAACAGGTTTATAAGTTCAAAAACAGTTTAGGGTAACGATCATAGTCCAATTTCAGCCTTAAAAGTTGAAAATCTGCACTCTGGAGCACCAACTCGTCGAGTGCAAGAACAAACTCGGCGAGTTGGTCAGAATTGTGCTGGGACTCAGCGAGTCCCCCAGTGGACTCGGCGAGTCCACTATCCAGAACAACAGAAAATCGATTTTTCAAGCTTAAACAACAAGTAGCATCAAGTATAATTGAAAACAACCCTAGGCTCTGATACCACTGATGGGTTTTGAGCATTCTAACACTCCTAAGGTATACATGCAACCCTAAATACCTTGGATCTATGTTTTCTCTATTATACATGCGAACTTTCATTTTCCAAGGTATTACCCTAACTAGCATACAAAACTTTGATACTTGGGTAATAAAACAAGTTAGATAACATACCTTTTGTTGTAGCTTGTTGCCCTTGATGTATTTGGCCTTTAAGAACTTAGCACCAATAGTGTGAATGCCTCAAATGGAATCACAACACATCTAGGACAAAGGATAACTTGAGAGAGAATGGCTTGCTCTAGAAATCGGCTCTATGACTCTTCTAAAGATCACTAGTCTACTTTTCACCAACCAAGGGGCTTCTTATATAGTGTGGCACAACTAGGGATACACCATGCAAACCCTAATGTGCATGACTTTCCACATTCCTTAGGATCCATGGGTTTTAACCTCCATGGAGTATCCATGGGTCACCACATGGTTTTAGCCCAACATAAAGAACTATGGATCATAAGCCCACTTTATAAGAATGGATGATTTACACAATCAATCCCCATATATTTAATTAGTCTCTTTTGATCACTAAATTAATTCCAAATTAATTCTTGATCATTACTAATTAAATAATATGATTTCATATTAATATATTAGAACTTATAATATATTAATAAACCATAAATAACCTCTTCTCAAAAGTCCATCCTAACAAATTGTCCTGATGATATGCAACCCAAATGGACCATGCTACTCTCGGGTCAAGTACATAGCAATTATAGTTATGGGCTTAGACACCTAATCCAAGAGAGGAGGCCTAAGAATCGTCTCCAAAGGGGCGCTTCACCCATGAACATGTTGGCCCAATGTGTTCAAAGATACAACCAAACTTCCGGATGAATTCCTATGATACCTGGTTCTCATTCCTTCTCAAAACCAACATGCCATAACTCTAAACAATAGCCATCGGCCACCCGGTCAACAGGGCATAGACGCCGTGGGGTCACACCCCCGTCGCCCGAGGAGGGTTCAGGCTCTCTCTAGTGACCGCTGACCGTTTTATTAAGCGGACAAGAACCGGACATCAATCGGGATCGAAAAACGCCTGGAACGGAGAACCTCCAGCAATGTCTCAGCTACATCGCCTGGCCCCAATACCTGACGTCATAGAAGTACCCTTCAATTCGACACAGGGCACAAACGCAATATCACCACTTCGGATTGCAAATAGGCCGTTGCGAGTACCAAACTTTGGTGAAAACACCGACAAGACGAAGCAACATCAAAAAATGAACATACTCAACAAAGAACACAATACCACTAGACTCCGCTAAGCCGCCCGCAAGGGAAACACCGAAAATCAACGGACTCGGCATATGCGAGTGGAAAGCTCCAAAACAGGAGATTGGGCATTAGAAAAGAGTAGTTTTAGCCACGCACAACCCCAGAGCAAGCTGAATGCCGCCAGGGAATACGCAAGCAGGACCACAAAAGCTCACCAATATGGAGTTTGCGTCCCAAAAGTTCAGGACGGAAGAGTCACTCATATGACCCGGAGTGTGTGCAGTTTGCACCATTACCACTAGAGCGAGGAGAAAGGTCCAGATAAGGCACATCCAAGGCGAGGGTAATGTGATCAAACTCCAAAAGAATAATCACACCCCAGAAAGTCGGCCCAAGAGCTAGGCCTTGATTTGTGCTATGATGTAGTCATCTCTTTTATTTACTCAACAAACAATTTAGATGTTTCTAAAATGTTATCAATGAAGTAAAGAATATTGACTATCAACAAAAACAATTAGAACATTTTTACTATCCAAGCTTGGTACCATCTAAACAAGAGGTTGTACACGTTTACCAAATGGAAACAAGGACCGATCATCCATATCATTTGAGCGAAACCGTTGTAAGAATGAAACCATAGGCGTCAAAGGCTCATAACCTTTCCCTAAACCTGTCAATTCAGCCCAAAAGGCTACAACTCTCGACCATGACATGAATGAAGTCTTCAAAGGCTCATAACCTTTCCCTTGAAATATAAATGCCTAAGTCCTAAATGCCTCAAGGTGATGATCTTGGCTTAACTTAGATTATTAGGGTCGAAGTGCGACCCTCCAAGGCTTAGGACTTAGAACAAAGTCCTGAAAGGGTAATCAATAAACTTTAGCTAAAAATGATACCCTAACAAAGAAAACTAAACAAAAAGTCCCAACCTATAAACAATGGTCTATGACCCAAAGAAAGGGATAATTTTGAGCCCCTAGCACGAGCTCCCAGGATATGACCAAAGGACCCTAAACAAATATGAGTCCTAGAGTCAAAAGTTGGGAAAATCTAGTAACATGGCTAAATCGCCAATCGAAACAAACATCTGCCCATCGAGAAAAATACCTAATTCCTAATGAAACAAGAAAGAGGTGTAATGAATCGACCCCCCAAGGCCAACATAAACCTGAGGGAAGAATTGCCTCAGTAAGGAAAATTAAGGGCATGTGTACCCCCGTGGCCAACATAATCCACCTGGGATTAAAAGCACAAGCATTGCATAAACGGAAGTAACCATATCATCAAAAGACAAAAAAAATTATTCTGCCGGACAACTCCTGGACTTAAAAGAGTCATGTAGGGCCAAACAATGATTAATAGTATTGACTTTGAGACATCATCTCTGGAACATCAATAAAATTGAAACATTGTTTCACACAAAAACCAGCCAGTAGGAGGGAAGGATCACTTACCAAACAAATTAGAGGAGGTCCCAGCTTTGGAAGGATCATGTTCTGGAGGAACATCCTCGACATCGGGATCATTGCACAATTGGCGGAGGCCTCCTAGGTCAAGATCACCCAAGTGGAGATATGATGTGAAGTCCATCTCCATAAAATCCCTCACCAAGGCATGCATCGCCTGTGTCATCTCCACGATGGCGCTCGGCTCCTTAGGATTGAACTTCCCAGCAGCCACCTGCTCCTTCACCTCTTGTTTAACTCCTTCCTCACCGTCAGCCATACATGACGCTTTCATCCGCCTAACTCTAATCAAGAACTCAGTGCTCTCGACCACCTTGTCCACACCCGAACAACACCCTTCTGCAACAACCACTTCACATCATCCTCCACAGCCTTCCTCCTCAACTTCTCTGCCTCCAGCTTCCCATGATGTTCCTCTACTCGGCAATTCAACACCTTCTTCTCCTCCTCCACCAAGGATTCAATCCGCTGGGAAAAGTGCTCCACCGACCCGTCCAAAATTTCCACCTACTCCTCCATGGATATCTTCTCCCCGGCCAAGAGGGCATAACGCTCCTCAAATTTGCACTTCTCCTCCTCCATCCCCAACAAGTTCATCCTTAACTCATCCCAATCGACCCTACCAGAGGTAAGCTCTGTTGAATCCGAGTTAACCTGGCAGAGGCGCCGAGCAGCGGCCACCAAGTAAGGAGCAACTTGAGTTGCCGCGTACTGGAGACTGTTGGACATATGAGAATTAGAGAGGAGCTCCAAGGCCTCAATTGTAACAGGAGGGAATGCATGATGAACCCACTCACACGCAACAAAATGTTATGTAAGAAGGGACTGTCGAGTGAGCCCCCACTCAGGGATGTAGATTCGAGGGGCCGCCAAAGGCAGAGAAAAAGAACCTAGAATAGTACTATCCTTCATGGAAGTCAAGGCAGAATCTGGATCAATTTGAAGCCCACCCTCCGACTCTTTCCCAGAGACACATTCCCTAGGGTTGGTAATTTTGTGCACTCTTGGTCAGTCTGTCCACAGTGACCCAGAAAAAATCAGTATAAAATGTACACTCTTGGTCAGTCTGTCCACAATGACCCATATAGAATCAACAAACATGCCTTCCATGGCAATTTTGTGTTGAAATCCATAGTGATCTCCTCCCACTTCCACATGGGAATGGGTAAAGGTTGCATCTTGTCGTGGGATCACTGATGCTCGGCCTTGACTTTCCTGCAAGTCAGACATTGCTTGATTAACCAAGTTATCTCCCTATTCATACAGGACCACCAATAACTCAACCTTAAATCCTTGTACATCTTAGTGCCCCCCCCCCCCCGGGTAGATAGAAAACTTTGACTTATGCGCCTCCTCCAGAACCGTCTGTCTCACCCCACCTACAACAGTACTATCCTTCGCTGAAGGCAAGGCCAGATCTGGATCAAATTGAAGCCCACCCTACGACTCTTGCCCGGAGACACCTTACCTGGGGTTGGTAGCATCCCCCGACTTTTCTTGGGTTCACGAGGCTGTTCAGTCGCCTCTTCATCAATTCCCTTCGACAGTTTCAGTGCGTCATCATTGGGAATGTCTAGAACCACATCCGACTCCCCCAGTCCATGTTTCGGTTCTTATGAAGATACCTTCCAAAAGTGCTGGAATGGACGCCTTCTGTAAGCGGGGAGTCTAACCATTCCAACCGCCGTTTAGTAGTCGAGCGGCTCCCTCCAGTCGCCACCTCTTTCGACACCTCGTCCTCCGGATCAGTAGGCGGAGGATCGTCGCGAGAAACCCCCTTAACATGAACGTCAACCAACTCCTGGCTAGCTTGAGGAACGAATTCTAGCACCACAACAATGGAAGGGCCAACAAGTGCCAGGGCACGATCAGTGTTGTCTGATGGAGGAAGTATCTCCATCAGGGGCACATCCCGATACTGGCACTGCCTCGGAACCTGCCCCGCAGGATCATCTCGAAAGGAATGATCCTCTTGCAACCTACAATGATAAACAAATCACATAAATAAAGGGATCGGTAAAGCCCCCGATTTCTCTGCGTCGAGATATATAAAAAAAGGTGGGGGAGGAGATGCACACTCATCATCCTTCTCCACGAAGAACTAAGGCATCTTCCCATGTGCCCTTCAGGTGGTGCTCATACCAACTGCGGCCAACATGTAGTCCTCCTAATGTTCCCTATTGAAGGAAATGCTCCTCAGCACTTGCGCCACAGTTTCACTATCACCCCAGAGTTGATGCATCCGGGCGGAGAAAGTGGTTCTACGAGGATAAACAAAACCGACCAAGTTGAGATTAACCTATAACCATTCTTGCTAGTTCTTCCTAGAGGCCTTCTGGTTTATAATAAACACATGGACGCCCCGCCGCTGAGATAATGTATGCACGCCATACTGGGTAGAGGAATTGATGTAGTACTTGAAAGCACAAAATTGAGGATGCACGCCCAAAGCTTGACATGCCGTCTCGAAACCAACTATTTTGTTTACGGCACTTGGAGTTAGATCGTCCACATAAAAGGCATATTAGCACATGATCGCATCAAAAAATTCAGTTGTCGGCAGCCAAAGACCCACCTTGAAGATCGAAAGGGGACCCGGACCTTGCCTTCCGGCGGTTGAGAAACGATCGCCCCCTTTCGAGGATATTACACCCCGTGCTCAGGAAAAAAGCCGAATCGGGCCTGCAGGCCCTCAAACTCGCTTGATGTAGGCTTGATTATGGTGTTTGGTGTTGTCATTGGTTACCGATAACAAGAGTAAGGCGAAAGAGAAAAAAAAAAGCAAAGAGAAAGAGGAGACAGTTGAACAGCAAGAGAGAAAAGTAAAGGAAATCGTCCCTAATAAGTGAAGTTTTAAGTACGAGGTGGGAAATTCGAACAGTTACAATGATGAAGTTGTCTGCACAAATGGCTCTATCACATTAGTTGACGTCGGAGCCCTCTCTGTCAAATATGTGTCTTGATCTAAGCTAGAACAAATCAGCTACCCCAAGCTAACGCTGACGTTTACTACCCTAGGCGAATTGTTAACATATCCCTCTAGGAATACGTTAAAGATAATGAGATGGTTATCTAAAGGATGACCTAGCTGACGGTCGCTATCCAACATAAGTGCTAGGCCCGGGCCTTCACCCACGTAGCCTCACACTTAGACCCCGATGCTCTAGCGCTAAGGTCCAACTCAGATCGAAAAACTCTAGTCTATATCAAGCCAAAACAGTAATAACCGCTTCCCATAGCAACAACTGTAGCGCTCAGAGCACAACCCTCTGGTAGTTTTGTACCAATAGTAGATAACCGCTAGTAGTGCACGATTCGCCAATAGGACGCCTACACGTCCTGTCGGCCGAGACAAGACAAAAGGTACTGTTAGGGACATGCTCCCATGACAACAGGTATAAAACAAAGCCATCTTCTCTAGAAGAAAGGATCAACTCACTCTCTACCTTAAACTAAACCCTAATTCTCTCATACAATTACTGACTTGACCGTCGTAACTTCGTTCTGGGACCCCCTCCCGAACAACGACTGTCGCCAGTTCTTTCTTTGTTGTGATTCTCATGCTTAACCTAGACCAAGCTATCCCGAAACAGTGTTAAGATGAGAGCACATATCACAACAGGAGGGTAGAGGCTGAATAGAATGACCTAGACCATGGGTTAGAGCCTTTATATATGGGGGAAACTATACCATCCTGTAAACTATGATAATCTTTTTTATTTTTAAACAAGAGTTATAGTCATTAAATTGATCCAAAACCATATTATAGTATAAAATGTCAAATTATCAGAGTAACAATATCAAAAAGTAAGGAAAATAGTGAGGGGAGAATGTTGTGCTATCACGCTGGGCCCTTCCCCTTAATACCGGAAGTACCTGAAACCATAAATATAAATTGTAAGCAAAAGCTTAGTGAGTTTCCCCAAAGTACCACATACCAAACATAAATAAGTTAGTTTTATGGGCCATTTCATAGTCTTACAAGTAATTTCCTGCCAAGGGCCAAATCCCGGTCTTCCATACAGATGTCAGGGGCCAGATCCTAGTCTTTCATATAAATGTCAGGGGCCGCATCCTGGTCTTTCATATATTTGTCAGGGGGCAAATCCTGGTATTTCTTACACATATCACAAATATATCTAGCATCCTATATCACAAATAATGGGTCAGCCTTGGTGCCTTCGACCCATTGATACAGTGAGAAAACTCACCTCAGTCCGCTGATAGATAACTAGATGCTCGGCTGCAGAACTGGAAGATCCCACACTAATAAACAAATAACCCTAATTAAAATTAGGTTATAACCCATAACCATGGGTCTAAATCCCAAACCTAAACTCTTACGGTAAAAGACTATTTTACCTTTCCCATAATGGGCCTAACCAAACTTGGCCCAATAACACAATAATGACCCCCAAGGCCCACAAAGGCCCAAATCATGCAACTTAAGGTCTATTAATAAAGTTTTGAGGTCCACTAGTGCTTCAACAGCCTAAGGCCCAAAACCTAGATAAGTCCCAAAAGTCTAAAGCCCAACCGAAGACCAAAAGCCCACACGGACACTGCTCGGCGTACACGACCGATCGCCAGTACGCGCAGCGTATCGCTTGGTACACCCAGCGTACTGGGTTGCTTGCCACCCTAAACCATTTAGCACTTAGGTCATGTTTGGTATAGAGAATTAGGAGGAAAGAAATGGAATCAATTCCGTTTCTCTTGTTTGGCTTGTATTAAAAATAGAGAGAAAAGGAAATAAATGGATTCCATTTCCATTAGATTAATTCCCTTTTGATTATGGGGAAAAGGTGGGAAAAGGGAAATTCCAAGTCTCCGAGAAAATAAAAAAAAACGGAGAAATAAGATAGGCTCGACTTCGATCCCTACTAACTGTATTCTTTTTATTACGCTTCAAATTTTGAGTTCTCATGCGCTTGTTTTTTGAATCGGCCCATCTCCTCTTCTACGTTGCCCTACCAAAATCTGGATTTTTTTTGGTCGATTTGTCAACTAACGTCCAATTTAAGGTGTTAATAAGCTTATTGAATCTCAATTTAATTTGATTCCTATTGTTCTTCATGTTCTTGTTGTGCAAAATTGAACTATGTATTGTTTGCTAACTTCATCAATCAATCGTCAAAAGAGTTACTGTAAGGCTTTTTTTAATTTCTAAATCAAGTGGGCTTCCATTAAACCCCTTCATCACGCACTCGTTACAAATTCATAGAAATCAATTCTACCATGTTTTGTTTGATCTTGTAC